TGAGCTACATCCTCAGAGGGACTCAACCCTGGGAGTTAACAGGAAAAGCCTAGTGACTGAGAAACTAGCCTTAAGATTATCCCATTATCTTCTAAGACCCTTCCTGTACCCATTACTTTCTAAGACCCATTATAGCCTCTCATCCACCAAAGGAGGCTGCAGGCTACCTGTTGTTCCAGTGACCAGCTGTTTCTTGTTCCAGGGACCCAAAGTGAAATAGGTCATGACTGATAGTTATCTGGGTGGTCACCTCCTATCCTATCTGATTGACAGATGAGAGTTACTCACTTGCCCCAGGTCCAACAGCTTGGAAGTGGGCTGGATGTTATGCTCTTTTTGGCTCCTTCCATTATTACCATGCAGTTGCCCTCCTCTTTTTTCTTTTTAGCCCCTTTTTCATGACCTGCTTCCCTGTTTTTTTCAGATGTGTAGCTCGTTGAAGCTCAGGTTCCCTTGGCTTATGCTGCCTTCCCCTGGGTTACAAGTGCCTTAGTTTTCAAGTCTGGGTAAGAGATGTAAAAATTTGCAGAACAAAAAGCAGGGAACTTAAAACACCTTTTCATAGCACTAGAGTTGCTATTAATTTGCCCAACATGGATGGTAGATTGCTCAATTACAGTGGATTGCAAATTTAAGCTCAAGCTCTTGGTGATAGCTGCAGCGACGCCTCTACTCTCCCGCCCTGACCACCCTCCCTCTCCCACCGCCCCGCAGTTGTCTCTGGCGATGAGCCCAGGGAGAAGATTGAACTGCTCACCTACTTCGGGAAGAGACCGCCGGGTGTGCTGCACTGCACAACCAAGTTCTGTGACTACGGGAAGGCTGCTGGGGCAGAGGAGTATGCCCAGCAAGATGTGAGTGGCTCCCCAGGAACCTGGCTGAAGCGGGGAGTGGGCAGGGTCCTCTGGAGACCAGAAACCAGACAGCCTCTCAGGAAAAGTGGAGTTTGTCCCAGTTTGTGCTTCTGCAGCCTGAGTGGTACCAAGCTCAGTGGCCCCGCTAGGCAGTGCTGCCAGCTTTTGCTGTTAACCCCGGGGCCTGCCCCTTCTGCAGATGCTCAGGGAATGCTGGCTTCTAAGCCTGTGTTCGGTTCCAAAGGCTAGAAGTCCCTTAGGCCCAGGAGACTGGTGCTCTGAAGTCCCTGTCCCAAGTCTGAGGCCTGGTCGTGCCCTGGAATGGGGAGTGTCGAGCGATAGAAAGGCTTATTGGCTTAGGGGTACCAGCCCCTTCCCTGCCTGCAGGCTACCCCCATCTCTTACCTACTCATATGGGATCCTTAACCACTTGGCGTGGCGCCCTGGTGCGCCTGGCTGACCCCAGCCTCCTTCAGGTTGCCTCTGCAGGAAGGCTGTCCTTGACCCTCTGCCAGCTCCCTCACTTCTCTGCCTAGTTTAACAGCCATTTTACTTACTTGTTCAGTGGTCTCCTCTCACACGAATGGAAGCTTTCCGAGGGCAGCAGTGTGGTTCACCTTGTATCCCTAGGCCTCCCACAGTTGCATGAATGAACAGGCCGCACACACTTTCAGTCCCACCTCTAACTGTATCATTTAGCAAGATTTACTGAGCACCTGTTAACTGCCAGACAGGGCCTCCCAGGTGGTCCAGTAGTCAAGAATCTGCCTGCAGGGCAAGAGGCTCAGGTTCAATCCCTGGGTCAGGAAGATCCCCTAGAGAAGGGAATGGCAACCCACTCCAATGTTCTTGCCTGGAGAATCCCATGGACAGAGGAGCCTGGCGGGCTGCAGTGCATGGGGTCGCATAGAATAGGGCATGACTGAGCACATGTTCATGCACACAGTAGACGCTGTTGGGATGAGGGGTCATGAGCAAAATAGGGAAGTTTCTTATGGTCAAAATGGGAGAGATGGGCTGAGAATCAGGTATACCATAAGCCACAGTGTATGGAGTAGATTTTGATCAAAGGCCTTTATTTCTGCCCTCACCCCGCCCTCCAGGATACTGTCTGGATACCAGGGTGCTTTTATGGGTTGAGTCGAGTAGTAATGACAGCAGCCCTTGCTAGGTCCTCAGTCCTCACCCTGAGGAAGGTTCAGCATCAGCCCTCTCTTACAGGTGAATGAGCCTTGCAGCTCGTGGGTGGGGAGCCCAGGCCTGATCTCAGGAAGCCTGGCGTCGCTCACCCCTGCTCTCTCCTGCCTCTGGCACAGCTGGCTTTTTAAGCAACCTGCCAATGTCAGTGGAAAGACGTCCACCCAGCACCAGGCTCTCTGCTTGTGGCACTCACTGTCCCTGTGTCACTGCCACCACCTCTAGCTCGGTTCTCTGCCCTCTCCCCCTTTGTAGGTAGTGAAGAAATCCTACGGCAAGGCCTTCATGCTGACCATCTCGGCCCTCTTCGTGACACCCAAGACGACAGGAGCCAGGGTAGAGCTGAGCGAGCAGGAGCTGGCCTTGTGGCCGAGCGACGTGGACAAGCTGTCCCCCTCTGACAACCTGCCACGGGGCAGCCGCGCACACATCACCTTGGGCTGCGCGGGCGACGTGGAGGCCGTGCAGACGGGCATTGACCTGCTAGAGATTGTGCGGCAGGAGAAGGGGGGCAGCCGCGGTGAGGAGGTGGGTGAGCTCAGCCGGGGCAAGCTCTACTCCCTGGGCAGCGGGCGCTGGATGCTGAGCCTGGCCAAGAAGATGGAGGTCAGGGCCATCTTTACGGGGTACTACGGGAAGGGCAAGGCCGTGCCCATACGCAGCGGCCGCAAGGGTGGGTCCCTTCAGTCGTGTACCATCATCTGAGCGTCCCGGGCCACCTGCCCCTTCTTTACACGGAAAGGGGGAGGGGAGGGGGGCATCCCTCTGCTTGATCTTTTGATTCTTTATTTTTTACTCAAAGTTAACTTTCCTGTAATTTTTGAAAACTTGTAAAATAACTGCTCTCTTTTCCTACCCACCCCCTTCCCCTCTAACGCTCAAGCTTTCAACACAAGGGGGTGGGTAGGCATCACCTAGGAACCTGGACCACAGTTGAAACAGGCTGGGCCAAGTCTGGCCTGGACTGGAGCCACGACCCCAAGCCCTGCTTCCAGTTACCGGGCCCCCAGGCCCACTGCCCCGCACAAGGCTGGCTAATGGGGAGGGACACCCCAGAACTGCAAGTACTCATGGAGTGGTTGGTCACCAGCCACAAAAAACTAGTGGATTTGAGATGGGTGGATCCCTGGGTTTTGAGCCCATTTCCTAATTGGTGTACTATTTTCCAGGGTAGAGAAAGGGTTCACCTTCCCCTCCTCACACTGTAACTAGGTAATGGTTTGACAACTAGGGGAGAAAACAGAGTAGGCAGCAGCCACACCCCAGGCTGGCTGCAGGTCTCACCTGGGGAAAGGGATGGGCTGCCGTCCTTCCAGCAGTGTGGCCCTGCTGTGTCCGTGGGGAGATCAAGGCCAGAGACAGAGCCTTGGTGGGAAAGCACCAGTATTGCCGTCTGCCCAGCCTATCCTGCCTCCTTGGTGCCTCTGGAGGCCTTTGTGTCTCTGCTGAAAGGGGTCAGTGGGCACCAAAAGCCAGTGGAGTGGCCCCTGGCTGTCACGGGCCAAGCCCTATCCGGTGCCTCTGGAAGGAGGGGTTTTAACTGCTCTAGGAGCTGGGGTTCCTGGGGTGCCCTCCACTGCCCTCAGCTCAGTAACGGCCTTGCTAATCAGGCTGTCACTCGACAGAAGTGCCTGGACTGAAGTTACTCTCCTGGCTTTGCCCAACCTCAGCAACTTGTAAGACTGATAATGAAATAAATCATGTTAATCCTAGCTGCGTGCATCTCTCTCCTGGGGCCCACTCAGTCTTCCCTGGGGTGAGGGCAGGGTGCCTTAGGACTGCCTTTGTCCCCCCAGCTTGGGGCCATCGGTCCTGTCTCCCCTCTGCGGGCTGGGCACAGCTGTGGCAAGGCTGGGCAGCTGAACAGTGTCGGCTTTCATCAGGAAGCAGGAGGGAGAGAGGCTGGCCTTGGAGGCACCCAGACAGCAGGGACACGTAGCACAGAGCAGCCCCCCGCCCCCAGTCACTGGGCACAGGCCCCCAGGTGTGCCCAGCCAATCCAACTGGAAGGATCTCAGCAAGACCCGGAGTTATCCAGGGAGGGTCAATGCCACTTGAAACACAAGGGAAGAGCTGACCCTCAAGAATCTCTTAGCCAGGCTAACAAAGGCCTGGTTGACTACATGGGAACTTCCCAGGCCTAATGCAGTCAGCATTTCACCATGGTCTTGGCATTGAAGGGACAAGACTGAAAAGAAAGGGGCCGAGGCTCAGAAGGAAGAGAAATAGTTAGCTATTTGGGCCAAGGTCTTGACCCAGCCATCTCTACTTAACCAGAGCACCAAAAATCAGAGCTTCAGCCAAAGCCTCAAGTGTCTGCCTGGATGTCCTGAGATGATTCACCACAAACACGAAGCTTGACCTGAACAGCATGACAAACGCCACTGCTTCCTGCCCCTGCTTGCCTTCCATGAAGGGACACGTGTGAAAGCTAGGGGCGTTTACTAAGAATTCCAGCTAAGGAGATGATGTCAGCACCCATACCACTGGGCCCAGGAGCTGCCTGTCCCACTTGGGAAGGGTCTGAGGGTCAGGGAGGCAGGATTTTGTCTTTGTTGCCATCTTCCTCAAGTAGTGGGAACTGTGAACGCCTGTGTAAATCTGAGTTAGCCCACCTGGGCACCTGGCACCCACTTTGGACGCATGCAGCTTCTAGTGATTTCTGGTGGCCCCTACCACAGAATGTGTTCTCAACTCACTGCCCCATGACTGGCATCAGGCTGGGCCCCACAGCATCCCCAGGGCCTGCTTAGCATGCATGTGCTAAACAGATTTTTGAGGGGGCAGCCAGCACCCCATCTGCCCCCAGGCACCCACACCCCTTGTGGGACGGCTGACAGCCTGAAGTCCATGTGGGCATCCACTCCGTGCTGGGAGCCCAGGTCTGGCCCACTGACTGGAGTGACAAAAAGCAGCTGCCAGAGCAAAGTGCCAGAAAGGGTCAAAACATTTTATTCTCTTATTTTTTTTTCTTTTTTAATAAAGTTAAACAGTAAAACAAAAATTCACAAGCTGCCCTGTCCGCCCCCCGCCTCCCTCCCCTCCCCGCAGTCTTCGGCGCTGGCTCCCTTTCCTTCACCCCACTCACACAGACACAGGGTATCCAACTGAGAAAACGAAACTGCTCTAAGGACGTGGAGACGTGATGAAGGGAGGAGGTGAATTGTGTCCACATTCGAGGTTAAACTGAGCAAGTCTGCATTTTCTGGATTCTGGGTGGTGTCCTTTCATTAGCCAAACTGAAAAAAGAAATTCCCTGGACCAGAAGCTGCAGGGAAAAGAAGAGCTTGTCAGCTGGCTCTGAGTTTCCAAGGGAAGATCACTGCCCTGGTTATGAAGGGCTGCTTCAACCGCAAATGCAAAGCCATCTGAGGGTATCAAAACAGGCTGGGCCCCAGGATGCAGGGGGAAGCCCACGAGCAGGTGGTGTGTGTGTTGTTCTAACACCTTCACCCTCACGGGGTGAGGGTTAGATATCTCCCTGACCCCAAACAGGTGTGGCTTTCATGCTCCCTAGGCTGGGTGTGCGCGGAAACCACCCCCCCGCCACCCATCCTCAGCAGCGCCCAAGGGGATAGATGTCCTGCTAGAAGAGAATTCTGCCACCTCCACTGATAAGCCTCTGACTCTCAGAATGCTGCCCAACAGGGGAGCCCCTGTGTTGGCTTGTGGCCTGGGAACTTGGGCACACCCACCTTCAAAGCTGAAGCCCCCAGGACCGCCAAAGAATGCCTTGAAGATATTGTTTGCGTCAAAATCTGTGGAGCAAAAGAAGAAGCAGAGAAAGCACAAAAAAGTGAAAAAAAACAGAAGTGTTTAAAGAGGAACTTAACAGAGAATGGGTCTCCAAAGCTTTCCCAGGTAACAATCACTTCCCTCCTTTCCCCAAAGTCATGGACAAGAGGCAAGCCCACTACTTGATTCCACTTTGTTCTACTTCCAAGTGTGTCCCAAAGGAAAGCTTTCCTTGCCTCAACCCACTTTGCTGCACCTTCTCCACAATGGGGAAATGCCATTTGCACCTATACACTGTCTCCCTATAATGCTGGGGCTGCTCCTGAAAGGACCAGAAGCTATCCCTTTAAGTGCTACCAAGGCTGTATCTAAGAATGAGACATGACTGAATGCATGCATGCATGTGATGCCATATTCTGTCTACATCATATGTCAGAAAAAAAGCTACCAGGTGGCAATCATGGTATTGGGACTGGCATACATTAGCTCATTCCTAATTTATACTCAACAAAACATAAGGGGGAAGCTCAAGTAACATGCCCAAATCACCTGGTCAGTGAAAGCAACAATACTGAAGACTGCTGCCTCGAGCCTCGCCCAGCGCGGTGCTCTTCTCATCAGGCCACGGTGGGCCTCACGTACCCAGTCTGCCTAAACTACACAGGATTTATCTCCAGCGGCCAGTCCCACAGGCACATGGTATTTAAAAGTGAATTCTTTGCCTGTGTATCTACTCATCTTCCTGGTTCCCCCAGCTCAGTGAACGGCCCCAGTGAGTCAGCTGTGCCCAAGCCACTCTCGACTTAGTCCTCTGCCTCTCCTAACACGTTCAGCAGCCAACTCCTGCTGATGCCATCTCCCGACCTTGCCCTCGATCCTCTCCTAGTGATCTTGTTTTCTCTCCTCCCCTCCACTTTTTCTAAACCAGCTCTCCTCACTGCCATGACAAATAAAACTCCAGAGCCGAAATCAGGTCCATGGCTCCCCTTCTTAAACCCTTCAACAGTTTTTGACTGCTTACAGCACTTCTCAACTGCTGGGCAGAGCAATGTTTATTACTCTAAAACTTAGGTTTGTAAAACACACCCACCCACCCTGAACTGGTGGGGTCAGGGTTATCTATATAGCATCATCAACCTTATTTTAAGTTCCAAAAGATTTTCTCAGTGGAAGAGAAAGGGCTGGCATTAGAGGCAGTGGTCTGAGAACTGTGCACAACAGCTCAGGGCTTCTTTTATCTCCAACTGAGCTCACAGCGAGCAATGATGCTCTCAGCTACGCTTCACTTCATTCTAAGTCTTCTGGGGAAACTGAAGTCTGTGAGGGCTTATGGGAATGTGCCAGACACGTAAGTATCAGTCATCAGACACTTTGCAATGGGAGGAAAAAAAACTTCCAGCCAAAAGGAAAAACCCAAATGTTTCCTGTAGCCTCTAAGGCCTGCTGAGGTCTGCCCCACCTACTGTGTGGCTATGCCCCAAGCACCCTCTTCCCTCCCAGCCTAGCCCTGGTCACTCCCCTACAGTGCTGTGCTTTTCTGCATATCCAAGCTTTCCCTTGCTAGTGCTGACCTCCTCGGCACTCACTCTGTATCCCTGGCACCTGCTACACTTGACTGCCCTCATTGGGCTCCATGTCTATCAGACCTGGGGTCAGACTTGGCCCGTGGACCAGGGTTTGCAAACCCCTGGACTATGGGTTTGATTCAGCTTTGTTATTTTCCATACCCGTCACAGTACCTCACACATTACAGCTAGTCATCAGAGTGCACTTAACAAATTGTTGGGCATCACTGGCTGATGACATGAGACACCCCCACCCCTACCCTACTCCTCCGCCCGCAGAATGTCTTCAGGAAAAATGCTAACGTTTCACAGGTGTAAGGTTCAACCCAGGCCACCCCAACCAACTCCCAACTTACCACCCATATTCATGCCCTCTTCATCAAGGTCTTGTCCACTGTCATAGCGAGTCTTTTTCTTGGGATCAGAGAGAATGGTAAAAGCTTCTCCGACTTCCTTGAACTTTTTCTCCTCCTCCTTCTGAACTTCGGCACTGGCTCCACTGTGCCGATCTAAAGGGAGGAATACAGGAAGAACTCAGAGTCTCAAGAAAACAGAGTTCAAGGGAGAGACTACATTATGTCTCATTTTAGAATCCAGTACTTCCCACATTTGGAGGGTATAGAACTGAGCACCACCTTATTCCAGCTGAGGAGCCTCTCTGAGGCTTTGGTGCTGGACTGACCATGGCAGCAGCCGGCCCGACCTGCTCCTCCCACTGAGTCCCGCTCCCCACCCGCTCTACCTGGATGGTGCATCAAGGCCCGCTTCCGGTAGGCTTTCTTGATCTCGTCCTCAGAGGCATTCTTGTCTACACCAAGAATCTTGTAGTAATCTTTCCTCTTACTCTTCTTCAGTTCTAACTGTGCATTTTTAAGGAGCTGTTTGTGTTCTGGAGGAAGACATTCAGCGTCAACAGATAAATCTGTTTTCGGCTTCCTTTACCAAGTCCCAGCCCCGATGCCCTGGAGTCAGAAGCCCTGTTGACCATACAAGGGGCTTTTATGATGTTTTCTTATGCAAACTAAAAAACCTATTCACACTTAGGTTCTTCACATCGGCCTCATCACACAGAAAATCAAAGTGGCAGGGAGAACTGGGGACCAGAAAACAGGTGCCTTGTCCCACATTTGGGATCTCTGCTCATTTCTTCCAGTAAGCTCCAGGTTCACCCTTGAATCAAACTATTCCCGTGTCCAGTTTTAGGACCTACAAGTCAGACCACACAGTTCCCTAAGGAACATGTGCTCAAAATTCTTTACCTTTTGTTTTCTCCGTCTGATATACTTTTTCATAGTCCCGTACTGCTTCTTCATACTGTTCTGTGTCCAAGTAACTGAGAAGGAAATACAGGGCAGTACAGCGACATAAATAGCAATGGTCTTTGGTATCACTCTAGGGAAAGAGGCATGGCTCAAGAGATACAAACTTTTGGTTGAGATGCTTCATGAAATAGGAGTTCTTAAGCTAACCACAAGAAAAATTCGCTACCAATTCCTCAAGAAAAAGAGAGAGGTCTCATGCCACCTGCACCCAACCAGCAAAGTGATGCACTGCTCTGAGCAGAAAGCAACCAAGGGGAGAACGTTCCTTCTGATTTCACTCAGAGCCACCGAGATGCATCTGGATCACCTGAGGAGAGACAATGTGAAGGTACCTACTTGACACTTGGGACTGAAACAAGGGAGAAAAATTATCAAGTGAGATCAATGGATATGGCAGAGTTTTGAAACCGAAAGTGCCATAAACATGCGGGGCCAGCTCCAATCCAGAGGAGATGTGGATTAGTCAGCCACGAGAAGGATCAAGTTCAAGGTGGTGGCTGCTGGCAAATACTTCCATTAAGACTAGTCAGTCTGAGAGATATAGGTTAGTGAGACAGAAAAGGAGACTGTGAACACAGGCTTGATTCTATTTCAGTGGCAGAGAGGAAGGAAGGACCCTGACCCAAGATGGGAGGAAAGTAGCTTGACAGGCTGATCACCAGACCTTATAAATGTCTCTTCCACAGAAATAAAGTGGCATTTTCCTGATGATATCACTCGCTCTGAGACTGGCCTACTGATTAAATACTCTTCAGCTGGGGAGTGGAGAGTGACCATGCAGTGCAGCTTGCCACTGCACAGAGAGGTTCAATTTCTTAGGCCGCTGCCACACAAGCTCATCTTTGCCAACATCACATGGCACCCCTAGGCCTAGAGGCCAGGGCAGAGGGAGCATTACTGATGGGGCTGGCGAGAGACAAGCCCAAGATTCTTAGGCATCTCCAATTTTCTGCCACATCTTGATTTATGACTTTTAAAAAATGGTGCAAAATCAATGCCCCACAGATGCAGGGCACAAATGCTACTAAGAATGCAGAGAACCCATTTTTAGGATCAAGCATAATGATACAAACTGAAGTAACACAAAATTAATAACAACTCTGGGTAAAGACTGATGTGACAAAAAAGCTAACCTGATGGACTTTCCAGACTTACATAATGGACTAAAATAAACATATATATTACAGTTTTACTTCACACTTTTTTTAAAATTCAAGGACATCCTAACATTAAAGAAAACAATTTTAAAAAGAAAAAGAAAAGCAGAGCTTTAGGGGAAAGGGAAAGCTCCATTTAGCCCATGACCGGAGCTGCAGCAGAGGTCCGGCCTCTCCCCACCAGTGGGGTGAGCTGACGCAGACCCCGGCAGCGCTCAGGCTTCTGGGAAGGCTTCAGCCTGAGCTAATCTCCAATACTTCTCGTCAGTCCCAGCTGCTCCACAGGACTGCTGCCAATCAGCCAACTGTGCCCAACAGTGCAAGCTGTGCTCCGTGGCAGGATCTTACAGCAGACCTACGCAGAGGACAGTTCTGTTTCTACCACAAAGATAAGGAGCTATCTGACCAAAGCGATTTCTGATTTGTTTATTGCACACATATGAAAAACATAAATCTTTCACCCCATTACCCTCCTAACAAATCCAGAATTTTCGGTTCTCTTCCCATTCCCTGTTCAAACACTTCACAGTGTTCCACTGAGTTGACACAGTTTTATGTAGCTAGTCACCCCCTTTCTACTAGACATCTAGGTGAGAGTCTGCTTTTTTTAACAGTAACACTGCAGTAAACATGGATACAGCACTTTTTATCTGTTAAAGTAAGTCTTTAGCTGGTCAAAGGGTACACTACACTTCTGTATTCCAAAGCTTCCATGTGTGTCTGCAAATGGTATGAAAAGAGGAGATGACTGATGGTTGGTTAGTCTCACAGAATCTGTAATATAATTCTGTGTGTGTTTGACAGATTTAGTCATCTACTTTAGAAATTCACTTAAAAACAAAAAAAGCACTACACAGGAGAGCAGTTTCCGTATTTTTCACAAATGTGGGTAATCTGGGGCACATGACATGGGAAGCAGCCCATGCTCCCACCACTGGTGAGACTGGGGAGCCGCTCACCAGGCAGCAGGAGCAGCCCGTCCTTTGGCTAGGACACTACCCAGGGAACACGACGGCTGTGGGAGGACTGCAACATGACAAATGGGTCTTCCTCTAGGAACTTTCAAAGACAGAACATTCTCCTCTGTCTGGGAAATAATCTGAAGTAAGATGGATTTGGGGGAGCAGTCTCTCTGAGCCCTCGCTCGTGTTCCTGTCTGGAGAAAAGAGTCAAGTGGCTTCAAAAATAAGATGAACAAGTATGCTGCAGAGCAACCTGACTCTGAAGGCAAATCTGAGCGCTGGATCTAGGCAGGCACATCCTGGCTCATAAATAACCTAGTCAGACAAGGATATTTCAAAGGGAACTTCCCTACACTGCAGGGACGCGGAGCCAGATTAAATCCCTTCCTATGGAAGCACTGTCTTCCCTAACCCAGAACATACAGGATAGGCACAACTCTCAACTACCATAAGAGACACCTTATTCTTCCTCTTCCAAGCACCATACATTCATTCAACAAAGCATTAATTGAGTGAGCACCTACTGTGTGCTAAGCACTGTGTCAAGTTAGAGCAAAAGTGTACAACACAAAATAAAATCTCCAAAGGAAATGGATTTTAAACTTTAACAAAAGGAATTTGGGTCAGGCATCAGAGGAAACTTACTGACCGTGAGGGGCGTAAGACACAGGCATGGGAGACTGAGGGAGCTTGTGCAATCTCCTCCGCTGGAGGTCTATAAAGATAGCTCTAGGGCTGGAACAATCCCACCTAGAGGCAGGGGGAAGGACCAAATGACCTCACAACATCCCCGGGTCTGCTTCATCATCTACAATGCAATTCCCCTGGCAGGCCAGCAGCAATGCCCTCTTCCCCCCACCCACCAGAGGCACTTACCACTGAGCTCTTCTCAAGTAGGCTTTTATATACGTGTCATCGAGCTTCACTGCATTTGTGCAGTCTTCTATTGCATCATCTAGTTTCCTAAGCTTCAGGAGAGAGAGAGCAGTCATACTTCACATCTTTGGTGATTGAGGGGGCCCAGAAGCTGTGGCCATGGCTTCAAAATTCTAAGAGGATCCATTAGTCATGCTGGCCCACTGTCACATTCATTCTTAGAAAGCAAGTCCCTCAGAGGGCTAAGGACACAAAATTCAAAATTGGGTTCGTTTCTAAGTGATGGAAGCCAGGCACACTTATCTGCAAGCATAAACCACATCTACTGTTCCAGGTTAGTGCCCAACCAGACACGGCAAGAGGAAGGGTGGTTCTTGCCTCCTATTCTTCCAGAGGCCAACTGGAGGAATAAGAATTACTGTTATTTTTTAAACCACTAGGACTGTGCAGGAGTAAGGAGCCTATTCTTGTTTCCTGATGGTTGTGTGGGACAGCACTTAGGGTATTTTCCAATGAGCATGGTGACCATCAGTTATACTGGAGAAAAAAAACTAAGCCTGCCTCATATTCTCATGTCCTCTGAATCCCTCCTAAAAAAGAATCACTTGGTTAGGTAAAAAAGAAGCAAAACTTGCTTTAAAAATTGTCTCAGTGCCTTCAGACATTCTTTTTTTCCCTAGCCATTTTTTTACTGGAAGAATTTTGAAGAACAGGTGGGAATACCCTTCTAAACTGTCCCTCAAGTGTCCCTAAATCCCACAGAAAAAATAAAAGCTTGCCTCTCAGAAGGAAGTTCCTCACAAGCTGGAATATTAACCTTTTCTCTTCTCATCTGGTTTACCCTTACTGGGCAAAGTTCCCAAGACCTTTTTGTTGGCCCTTAAAAAGATAGGCCCCAAACTGCAGACCAAGTGCTTACCTTGGAATTAACCGTACCCCGATTACAGTAGAGTTTAGCATTTGTTTTTATATTGTTGGGGTCTATCCCCAGGGCTTCTGTGTACAGTTCATATGCTAGCTTGTAATTTCCTTCTTTAAATGCTTTATTCCCATCTTCTTTCTTTGCTTTAAGTGCTTTGGCATTCTACAGAGAAAAGCAAGGGGAGTTTCAGTTCACATCCAGAAACCCTCAGACCACTGCAAGAGAGTCCAGAGTCTATTTTCTGTTTCTTAGATCCCAGGATGGCCCCCTACCCTGCCCAACCCCACCACCTGGGCTATTTGTTGCTCATGGGTACTTGCTACAGAGTGGACAGGAGAAACCGAGATTTATAAAACAACACCAATGAGACCTGTGTTACCCAGTTTACCTCTCTCTAGTCCCCAGGATAAGCATTACTATCTTTTCTTCACTGAATGAAGAAAAAAAGAAAAAACACTGAGATATTAAAAGGATCTGACTCTAAATGATCGTATTTACCTTCAGGAAAATACAAAGTTGTCCTGAAATAAATTCTAATGAAAGAACCAAGCATCCTGGCAAGGTGGGAAGAAGTGTTATCACACTCCCTGTGACGGGCGGAAACCTTTCGCCCTGTCTTAAAGGTGCAAAACAGAACCTTTCTTTCCTGCCCAGATCTGGTGCCTACAACTTACTCTGCAAGCAACGCAGGCCTTCTCATGGTCAGGAGCCATCCTGAGAGCCTGTACAAAAAACTGAACCGCCTTCTCAATACAATCTTCATAATAAAGGCAAAGACCTCGTACATACAGAGCATCGGCATTGGTGGAATCCATTCGTAAAATGTCACTGCAACAGCCAGAAAGGGGCACATTCAGCTATAGTCTGGATTTCCCTCACCGTTTCTATCATTTGGCCATTTTTTTTTTCCTTGACCATGTGTCTAATATGGAAAGTATTCAAAGGTAAATTCCCAAGAACTCCTCCCAAATTACTTGTATCCCCCCATTATACACTGTGTCTCACAATCTTTATTAGAACAGGGCTGGCAGATACAGCCCACAGGACCAAATCCCACTTGCTGCTGGATTTTGTAAATAACATTTCCTTGAAATCCAGCAATACTATTCATTTATCTGTTATCTACAGCTGCTTTTACACTGTAGTGACAGAGCTGAATTTTTAACAGAGACCTCACAGCCTGCAAAGCCTAAAATATTTACTAACTGGTCCTTTACAGTTTGCAAACCCCTTGAGTAGAAACAAAAGAACACTTAACATCTGTTCTTTCACATACAGGTCAAGTACCTATCGAACTTTGTAAAACCCTTAGGTTTTCAGACCTGTTCTAACCTTTGGCTTTAAGTCCCAGGAAGGTCTGATCACCCTACCTATAGGACCATATGTAACTCCTGATGTAGAGAGCTGCTGGACAGCATTTGTTCAGTGCTATCTGGCATTTCACTGCAGAACTGGCTTGACTTCATACCTGGCCACAGACTGTGCTTCTGGGTAACGACCCAGCATTGCTAAACATTCTGCTTTGAGGATTTTGAAGCGATGGCAGGCAGGGGCATATTCTAGGGCACGGTCCATGCAAAAAACAACCTATAGGGAAGAAGAAAGCAAATGAGGTTCTTCTTCCTGAACTCCAAAAATGTCTTCACTTTAGTCTGGTCACAGTTAACACAGAGATTCAAGGGAAAGTAATGCCAGAGGTTTAAGAACATTCCTAAATTACCAGATTAAACCACTGAAATGAGAGCAGCTGATCCAGATGATGACAACGACAGCAAACATTTACTGAGTACTTTAATTCACTAACTCATTTAATGCTTGCAACAATTTTATCAAGAAAGTTATATTACTACCCTTATTTTTATTTTTTCTAGCTTTATTATTTTTTAAATTAATTTATCTGACTGAGATGGGTCTTCACTGCGGCACACAGGCTCGTCGCTATGGCACATGATTGTCTCTAGCTGTGGCGCTCAGGTTTAGTTGCCTCGCAGCATGTGGAATCTCAGTTCTCTGACCAGGGGTCCAAATTGTGTCCCCTGCGTTGGGAGGCAGATTCTTAACCACTGGACCACCAGGGAAGTCCCTATTACCCTTCTTGACTGATGATAAAACTAGAGATTAAAGTAACTTGTTCAAGGTCACCAAAGCTAGTAAGTGATAAGAACAGAATTTGATCTTAGACACGAAGATCCAGAGCCTATAACCCTAATCACCATGCTAAGGTGCCTCCACAGGGAATCCGATCGATAGTGACTGTGATCAAAACTCTCATTCCTGGACTTCCCTGGTGGTCCAGGGGTTAAGAATAATGCACCTGCCAATGCAGGGGACCCAGGTTAGACCCCTGGCCTGGGAAGAATCCACATGCAGCAGGGGAACCGAGCCCACGCACTGCAACTACTGAATCCCACACTCTAGAGCCCATGCTCTGCAACAGAAGAAGCCACCACACTGAGAAGACCACACACCATAACCAGACAACAGCCCCCACTCACTGCAACTAGAGAAAGCACTCGTGCAGCAACAAAGACCCAGCACAGTCCAAAAAAAAACAAAAAAACCCAAGTCTCATTCTTCTAGCAGAAATACTATTATTTTCTACTTTGCATAATTCATCACGTTTAGCCTAGTAAGAAAGACAAGGAACAGCAAAAAAGAACCTGCTAAAGACTCACTGCTCCTTATACTACTGACGCCACTCAGAACTCCCCCTTCCTGTGGCGTGAGCCTCACATCTCACTGCCTGCCCTGGTGGCTGCTCTTCCACTTTAGAACAGAATATCCAATATATGAGCTCATCTTCAGTGGTCCTAGGCTATACTTACCACGTCACTATACTAACCAAAATGTTAAGTCACACACACACACACACACACACACACACAGAGAGCTGGAATTTTTTTCAGTCTTTCAGCTTCATAAAGACTCTCCATATATTTCCATCTTTTTTCTCAGTTTGTTCTCTGAGCTTTCGTTTTTTGTTTATCTGCTATTCCTGGGAGATCCTTCTTGAATCACATTCTCCTAGGAATAACTGATCCAACAGAGAAATCTGGAGTTCAGGGACACCTATTCCCTCTAAGAATATGGTCATCGGGATCAAGAAGTGATGAAGTTTGAAAACTTAGAAATAACTCAAATTCCATCAACAGGAGACTAGTTTAGGTAATGGAGACATTCGTAGAACAATATGTGGATCTAACACAGAATGAAGCAGCTCTACATACTAATATGTAAAGCCTTCCAAGGCCTATTAAATAAAAAAAATAAAAAGGGCAAGGTATAGAACTTTGCATAGCATTATTACCTTTCATTCAAAAGAGAAAAAAAAAAAAAGAAAATGAAGAATCTGTATTTGTATTTGTTGGGAATTCCCTGGTGATCCAGTGGTTAGGGCTTGGCGCTTTCTCTTCCAGGGGCCAGGTTCACTCCCTGGTTGGGGAACTAAGATTCTGCAAGCCTCACAGCACGGCCAAAATCTGTATTTGTTTATTTATGTAGACCAAACTGTAGCAGAAAATAGAACAAGAACAGTGCTTATCCCGGGGGTGAGAAATAGACAGATGGAAGACAAGTTTGGGGAAACACTTATCACTGTTTATACTTTCCCGCTTCTGAACCAAGAATAGCATTTATTCAAATATTTAAATTTAAAAGTAAGGGAGAGTAAGTAAACACCATGACCTGTTGCACCTGGAAGACTTCTGCAGTGTCAACAGTGGGGACACCTCACCTTGAATGGCACAGGTTATACCCTGGAAATTCTAAGGACCATAGGAAAATACAGGCATTAAGTACGGGAGTCATGGTGCTAATTTTCCCCTCCTTAAACAGAAAAAGAATTGGGGGAGAGGAGTCAGTCAAATGTAAGCAGTCACACCCTGCTGCCTTTGCTACGTTCTGTACGGAGACGGTTCGGTTCCTGGTGGGGAGCGTCAGTTGGAGCCTCAGGGCTTCACTTCCCACCCCCACCTCCCAGGACTATGGACAGCTGCAGGCAAAGAAGATCTTTGTTTCTTACAAGTTCATCTGTTTCCCCTGCCAGGATCATAATTCTTCATTTGTGACATCACCATGAACTACAGTGGGGGGGCTGGGATGTCACAAACAGAGGATTCTGTCACAAACTGGGGATTCTGGCTCCAGGATAGGCAAGAAAGAAAAGAAACCCAAAAGACCGCCTTTTGAGACAAAGCTTTTGCTTATGTAAACCTCAGAAAAACGTGACAGGAGGCAGAACTGCTTTCCAAACACACACACACAAAGTACGAACCACACTACAAAGACACTGTGGTTACTAAAACCAACGGACAGAAGAGGGATGCTAATAAGTTAATGCTGGGACTCTATAAGCTAATCAGATATTACCAAATAAAACCATCACAGTATGTGACTTAAGAATGATTCTTAACTATACCCTTTCATCAAGCATTTGAGGACCTGCTACAGAAAGTACTGAGCAAATTCCCACATATGAATTGACAACTCCAGCTCTTGGATGATACAAACTTCTTTTAAGTGATCCTGAAAACTGATGCTTATCAATGACTTTTAACCCTTTTCAGGGCCACTTACCTCCCTTTGAACCTAGTGAAAGCTGCTTCCAAGTTCCCTTGCTCAAGACCTAGAAAGATACCTGGAACTCGGATACCTTTCCCATGTTTTACACAGGTCAATCCCTTTGCCAAGTACATTTTTCATGAACTATCATACAGCGCCATAAAAGACAGTGGTGTGCTTTCATGGAAATGCTTAACACCAAGAGGGTAGTGACGACAGGCTATAAACACTATTCAAAAACGTAAAAGAGGCCTCTATTTTTTATTTATATCTGCATTCAGTTCACAGGTATTAAAGGTAGCTCTCATTATTCTAATAAAAATATGCAATCCACACTTAATATTTAATTCCAACTGGCTTTTCCTTTCCTAACACACTTTTAGACTACTACCTCCTATCAGAAATAGGAATGAACTCAAGTAACAGACTTGTACTGCTTTTTATTACAAAGTGAAATATAATTAAGAAAAGAAACACTTCAACAAAAAAAAGTTTCTTTTAACTCTGTTGATGTGGAGCAACAGGAGCTCTCATTCCTTGCTGGTGGGAGTGCAGAAGGATACAGGCCACTTCTGAAGACAGTCTGATAGGTTCTTGCAAAATATAACAAATTTTTACTATAGGATCTAGTAATTGCACTTCTTGGTATTAACCCAAAGGAGGTGAAACTTACAGCCACACAAAAACCTGCACACAGATGTCTAGAGCAGCTTTATTCATAACTGCCCAAAACACGCTGTAACAACTACATCTCTGGAATTCCCCTCTAGAGAATGTGCACAGGGGGAGGCTATGCAAGTGTGGGGTAGGAAGGTTATGGGAAATCTCTGTACTTTCCTCTCAATTTGGCTGTGAACCTAAAACGGTTTTTTAAAAAATTAAGTCTTTAAGACAAAAAGAGGGAAAGAAATGGTCAATGCCAAATTAAAGAGAAAATTTACTGTTTTAGATCTTCTATACCATACTACTCCTCTAATTACCACACATACACACACACACACAACTTTGTGAGAGAAGTGTAGATGAGATTTCTACATAGTTGTAGTTTACCTTCCGAAAATCCCGCTTCTCAAAATCCGTTTCTGCTATTTTCTCATATTCTATGACTGCATTCGCATTCTTGAACTATACCAGAAAAATCACATAAGAGAGTTTTAATGAAGCTGTAGATTCCACAACCACAAAACCCAACAGGGCCTTGATGAATTTATTTAAAGAAAATCAGAACCACAGACTTTTCACAAGTTATACTGGCAAAGATGTAGCCAAGACTCCGTAACAGAAAGGTTAAGGCTCAACCTTCACCCTCAGTTTGAACTTAAAAGTCAGAAACGTAAGAACCATGACAAGATGTATGTAAAATAAGAGGCACTGTCAGGGGTTTAGTGAGATTCTTACTAAAACATATCCAACAGTAAACAAGGTACATAAGAAAATGGAATTAAAACATGTTTTAGCTGTTAACAATTAGGATCGGAATTCATACAAATTTTTTAACCTCACTCAAATCAGTTCCTTGATGCATCTGCCCATGCCCCACTCCCGCCAACTCAGAAACTCTCTAAATTTCATAGATTTTCCAAAGCTGTAAATCATATCCAAAACCCCTTCTACAGATTAAGGAAGCTGAGGCTGAGAGACTGAGACTTGTGCACAGTCACCCAGGTGTGGCTGATGGCAGAAGTGAGACAGGATCTCGGTTCTGATTTTCAAGTCCCTATTCCTCCCAAGTACACCACCGTGTTTCCTCTGATACAGACAGGGTCAAGCCCATACCTCCTGCTGGGCCTGAGCATTTTTATGATCCAGTTCTAGGGCTCTCTGGAAACTACGACACGCCGCCATGGCATTCCCTAGAGATAGGTGGCATTTGCCTTCTCGTAGATGTCCCTAGGAGAAACACAAACGGGGAAGAAAAGGAACATGACTGGCCAAGCAGAGGGACATCAACAGCAGGAACACCCACACAAAACCAACAAGGGATGAAAAGAGCCAGAGCAGCAGTTATCAGCCAGGGGTGACTCTGCCTTCCAGGGCACATTCAGCAGTGCTAGATACGTTGTTGCTTGTCACAACTGGGAGAGCGGGGATCTGCTGAAAATATCCTACAAATGCATAGGACAACCCCCCACAATAAAGAATTATCTGGCCCAAAATGTTAATAATGTCAAATCTGAGAAACCCTGGGCTACAGGAACTCAAGTATAAGCAACTTAGTACCCCGAAACAGCCCTATTACATACCCGGACGAAACTGTCATCCAACCTCACTGACTGCTGTGCATCCCCGAGAGCTTCCCGGAACTTTCCGAGCATCATCAAGGTGGCGGCTCGATTCCCATAATAGCTAGCATTTTTAGGACACATATCTACAGGAAAGGCAGAAGAATGTGAAACAAAGTTTAGCATGGGTCACTGCTTCAAAAACTCAGGGGCCCCGACACCCTTAGAACTATATCAAGACACTCAAACTATAACAGGAATGCTGGCATGCTCTCTTTAAAGTCCATGGCCAAATTTCTGACTTCTTGTGCAATGGACAGCAGCGATGGTGAAATCAACTTACACATAAAGTTATTTAGAAATAATTTATACTGAGCTTTAAAGTGTACTGATTATCTTTTAGGAGTGAGGGCTTAGCACATTTATCTTAATGATTTGTATTTTATGTAATAAGATACAAAAATGAATTTGCATTTGTTGAGTTAGATGTGCAGACAGAGCAAGTTAGGTGAGAAAAATGCTGATAGGAGATTAAAATACTGCAAACTGAGCATGTAACTAAGACTCGTTAATATCTACAAAGGTCTCTTTCAATTCTGGTTTCCTCAGTGTGAAATAGATCACCAGTCCAAGTTCGATGCATGAAAACAGGGCACTCAAAGCCGGTGCACCGGGACAACCCAGAGGGATGGGATGGGGAGAGAGGTGGGAGGGGGGTTCGGGATGGGGGACACATGTACACCCGTGGCTGATTCATGTCAATGTATGGCAAAAACCACCACAATATTGTAAAGTAATCAGCCTCCAATTAAGATTAATTAATTTAAAAAAATCTACAAAGGTCATTTTCTAAGACAGTAAATGAATTGGCAATGGTTGAGGGGATTAAGGTGGATATCCTCCTGCCGTATTATCTAGAATTTTTGGAACTGCCTTTAATTTGCCAAATGAAGAACCACCTGCTTCAGCCAGAAAAAGTTATTCTTTCAAGTCATTAAACCCGAAATAGTTCACACAGTTAACAGTTATCAACCCACTAAGCAGAAAGATTATATCTTACAGAGGAGCTATTTATAACAGCATTTGGCAAATTATTTTCAAGCATATTCCTTCTCACCTATGGCTTTTGTATAATAGTTATAAGCTTCATTGTAATCTTTCTTGGCATAGTAGGCATTTCCTTGTTCCTTGAAAGACTCTGCTTCTCTGAAAAGGAAAGAGAAAGAGAATCAAGTTACTATACCCAGAGAATGACCTCTGTAATCTCAAGGGAGCAATCTTTTGGTCTAGAGTCCCTAGCACATTGAGCTGAAAGTTAATGCGATACCTGAAGGAATTCATAGATTTGTTCGATGGGCTGATGCACCAAAAGGAGGTGCTAATGAGAGAATCTGAGTTTTTCAGATGCTGTATTTTTTTGTCACTTAGATACATTCAAACTAAATCAAAAAACCTCTCTTATGCGGCCTGACCTCCCTCTCACTATCCCTACCTTTAATCATTCCCTTAGGACAGACACCAATTTACAGACACTCTCTCCCAGAGACAAAATTTTTGTATTTATTTCCTTTCCACTGTGTCACAACTTCTGTCTCTTTAGCAAACTGACAAAATCAGTTATAGGAAATTCCTTTCAGGGGCAACTGATTTCTCAATGTGGAATGAGTCGTATCCTTGGAATCTTGATGATTTATTCTTTTGAAAACTGGGCTCATGCATTGGTCACCAGAAGGAAAGAGCAAAAGCAGGTGACAAAGATGTTAAAAGCATAGCATACTGGTGTTTAAGATGGAGGACAGAGCTGAGTGACAGGAGACACCAAGAACTTGGGAGACAAGAGACAAAATATCGGCTGCCAGAGTCATACTCTAAGAAGGACCCACCTACTGTAAGTTTCTTTGTCTGTCACATCTGTGTGGATGCTTACTGCTCCTCTGACCATCCCTCTAGTACCTTGCATAACCACCCAATGGGTAATATAAAAAATTCTGCCCTACTCCAAGATTCATTTTTTGAAGCTGTGCCATGAGACAAACTATACTTTCAAAAAGAAACAATGATATATAATGGGGAATTATAATCTTGACCAAAGAACTAAAATCAAATCAGATATGACCAATAATGTCTCAAAGAACAAACTTGTAACCTATACCAGAGATATCCAAAATCACTCCAATGAATCACCCTAATGACCAACCTGAATAACAACGATAATTCTTTACCAAAACGATTACTGTAACATAACTAAATATCTGGGCACTTCTGTTATAAGGAAGAGTAATGGAATTTTTTTTTCTTTTTCTTTCCTTAACACATGCTAAGAGCCCAGTTCAAGGGCTGCCTGAAGTGGCGATGAAAGTACAGTTCTTAACCTTGGTGGTGGTATAAGAAGTTTACAGCTTGATTCTATGCACTGCGGTACTGGGGAGATTTGTGATTTTATTTACTCATGTATTTTAAACTATCAACTGGTAAAGCCACCTTTTATTGAGGCGATCTCCCTTTCCACTTTTTTCCATCACTGCCTTGGCAAGTCCCACTAACATGAAAGGTCTGCTAGCAGAAAGGAGAGGCAAAATGGGGGACTTCCTTGGCAGTCCAGTGGTTAGGATCTGGCACTTTCACTGCAAAGGCTCAGGTTCGATTCCTGGTCAGGGAACTAAGGAAAAAAAAAGAAAAGGAAAATGACCTATAAATGTTGACAGGTTTGATCTGTGATGGATTTGAATAATTTTATTATACCAATGGTCACAATGCTGTAAAGAGGCCATCTGCTATTAAAAGTTCTCAAGGATCCCTCAAGTGCAAGACTTATAAGACCAAGAACAATCTTTCTACATGGTGAACACCATACTGTAATAGTAAATTGAGCCAGGCATTATAAAAATGATGAAGAGCCTATCTTTTAAGAGCAGACATGCCAGGGACTCCCCTGGTGATCCAGTGGCTAGGACTCTGATCTCTCAGTGCTGGGGCCCTGTGTTTGATCCCTGGTTGGGGAACTATATCCCATATGCCACGACTAAGACCCTGTGCAGCCAAATAAATAAATAAAAATAAACATTAAAAAAAAGAGCAGACATGACAAAAGACTGAAGAAAGGACTTCTCCCACACTGGATGTCAGAAGTTGAGTCAAACCACTATGAAGAAATGGGAGGAGAAAATGCAAAAGAAGTATTAGACCCAAACTGTACCTGAGAAGACCGAGCCTTCTTTGAGAAGACCGGGCCTTCTCTCAGCCAGCCAGTGGCTAAGACCACACAAATTCCTGAGGAAAACTAAATGCAGCTGGGCACTCAGATACATGCTGTGTCAGTGCAGAAAGCCTGTTAGTTGAAGATGGAACAATGTAAAAAAAAAAATAAAGATGGAGCACTCTGGAGAGCTACAGAGAGGTGCCCTTTCTTTCCTGCAAGAGAAGGAAGCCATAAGTTCAGCACTGGCTTTCTATCCAAAATTCAAAAGATGACTTCTGTGGAAAATCAGTTATCATTACTGAGCCCAGGCACGTTCCATACATTAGCTTATCAGGTGAGTTTCATCATTCCCAAGTTTCAAAGGAGGAAATTAAGGCTTAGAGGTTGAAAACTGGCTGGAGGTCAGGGTGTTGACCCACACCTGTCAGATCCCAAACCTGAGCTGTACCCTATCTACTATACTGGGCTCTCTCTAATACTCACCTCTACCTATTGCCTGAGATTTTAAAAATTAACCTGTAATGCTAAGAACAGTGAATATGAATTTCTTTCAACTAAGACACAAATAGCCCCAGTGTATAAATCCAACTCCAGACAGGCAATCTGGATTTAAATGAGCCAAACGACACTCCTAACAATTAGTCACAGAGAGAGCAAGGCTTCTTTCCCTTTAAGATGCATGACCTAGTGAACTGGACTTTGCCTCCCCCAAGAAATGCATTTCATTTAAGTAAATGGTGAGTAGATTCCATTCTAGAGCAAACAAAGCGAGTAATGTAGAGTCAGCCCACAGCAGAAAGAACAAGAAGAATTGTGTTGTGACAAGTTACCATGTTTTTAACCTCACACTGCACAGCATCAGGCCAGAATTAGCTATTCCCACACAACTGCCTCATGAAAAGGACTTATTTTCATAGAAACATGGTTGATTAACAGCTGCCTAAACAATGGGCACTTAGTGCTTTTAAACTGAATGCTGATTTTTTGCCTCCAGGTCCAACACCCAAAGCGGAGTCCCTCCTTCACTGTGAACCTCCCCACCAAATACACGATGAGCTTTGACCAATGGGCCTGACCCTGCAAGACCAGCCAAGGAAAGAGTGGATCTTTGGAATCCAGCATGGCAGCAGCAAGAACTGAACAAGGCTGCATCAGGAACAATTCCAGGGTCAAATCCATTCAAGTCCTGCCTGGGAGTCTGAGAAAGGGCTGAAGCTTGTTCAAGTTGCCCTTACAGCCGAGGGACCGAAGGATGAGATGTCAAAGGCGAAGGACTGGAGGAGGAGGAGAGCTGGTTAACACTGGAACTGAGGGCAATCTGGCCGTGGCATCTGTCACTCCACTCAGCTGCCAGTCAATTAATTTGAGAACCAAGTGAGGTTACATATACCTAACTAAAACACATCAGTACTAAAAAATGAATTAGGATTAATTGGGTTCACCTGGATTGGGTTAAAAAAGGAACAGATTCAAAAGGGACTACATTAAACTACAGATTATTCTTACGGCAGCAAAATAAAATTCAGACTAAATTCTGAAATAAAATACCACATCAAAACACAGACTTGGTCAGAGCTGACCCGGTATCACTATTAACATCTACACTACATTTCTAGTGCATTTTCAAATTTTCAAAACATTTCCAATGAGGACCCAATATTGTGTGTCTTCCAAAAGAGGAAGACCTCGTGAGGCACCCAAGGGGGCTGCACAGGTTTCCTGAATCTTCGAGTCTTAAGTTTTCCCCACTAGATCCTGTTAGTGACTAGGTTTTAGGGTTAAAACTAATTTATCCAGTTCCACACCCAATTCCTGGATCAACTCCAGGCAGAATAACTGTCACTTCTCTGATTCACTGATGGGATGCTGGGAATGACTACCTCCATCAGACCAGTCCTTTCACTTTAATAGTCAGCAACAAATTCCTGTGAAAACAGCTACTGAAAGGTTTTTTAAAAACTCTGCTCTCTTTGGATGTATGATGCAAAGGTGTCCCACAGCAGGATCAGTGCCAAAGGGCCAGGCTGCCTTCTCTTCACAGACAAAGGTAAGGAGAAGACACTCCACTCTTGTTCTGCTTTGCTACTTTAAAATATTATTTCTTTACTTTTCGAAATAACCTCATCAACCAGAAAGCTGCAGCATGGAAACCTGCTCTTCTAACACTGCTGCTGCTGCTGCTAAGTCACTTCAGTCGTGTCCGACTCTGTGCGACCCCATAGATGGCAGCCCACCAGGTTCCCCGCCCCTGGGATTCTCCAGGCAAGAACACTGGAGTGGGTTGCCATTTCCTTCTCCAATGCATGAGATGCATGAGAGTGAAAGGTGAAAGTGAAGTCACTCAGTCGTGTCCAACTCTTCGTGACCCCATGGACTGCAGCCCACCAGGTTCCTCCGTCCATGGGATTTTCCAGGCAAGAGTACTGGAGCAGGTGCCATTGCCTTCTCTGTCTTTTAACACTACACATGCACTAAAATCTGTACATCCTCTGATCATGCGGTTCCATTCTCTAATTTAGCATTCATTCACCACAGATGCTAATTATACCAACAAGCCCTGCCAAGGGAATCCTTTGGTATCACACAGGTCTTAGCAGGGCTCAGCATCATGTGATCAAATCAGACAACCTGGGCTTATGATCACCAGCCAACTTTGCACATTTATAACTCAGCTAAATTAAAAATACATTAAAACACCAAAGCTGAAATGTAATGTGTCCCACGTTAGATGCTCTATAAAAACTTCCATTTTCTCTCTAAATACTTCCATGATGAACACTTAAACAATACCTTTGCCTTAGGCCAACTAGTCTACCTTCTAGAAATGAAAGACGTATTTAGAAACTTTACAGCTCTCGCTTAAGGCAGGATTCACTGGCAAGTAGTTTTTTTTGTTTTTGTTTTTTAAATGTCTCAACACTACTGGGTTCTCTCTAGAATTACTTCACAGGTATATTTGTAATATACCGCTTTTAGATTTATTTTACCCCAGTGCATGAAAAATAAAGACTTCACTATTCTACATTTGCAACTGAGGAAATACTGATTGATTAGATTTCTGAATGATCTAAGTGAGGGGGTGGTGGGTGAACCACTGTGCTCTTATTTCAAGTATTTGGCTAGAACAGATTTTTCATAAAGTTCAGCTCTTCCAATAGCCATTAATAACTGTTTAAATCAAAACATATGTAGCAGCTTGAATGAGGTCTTTTTTTTTCTTTTTCTTTGCATTTTCCCAATGTATTCTGCTACTTCAGAAGTGGAAGAAAAATGAAGCTTTGCTAAAATTATAACTCAGGATAAAATGATTTCTTGTCAGAGAAAAGGAGTGTTAGGGGCCTCTGACCTGGAGACTACTTTACTGGCAGGAATAACTTTATAGAAAAAGATCTTTCCTTTCTTTACCCTCAGGCTTTTAATAATAATACGTTATACTGTCAATGAGTCAAGTATCCTTTATGCATCTGTATTATATTTAGTAATTCCAAAATGCTGCCCTTACTCTATGATTGTTGCACCCATTTCTTTTATTCAATCAAATTTACTAGTTGCCCGTTGATCTAGAAATGCCCTCCATCCTTCAGAATTTACAGGAACTTGGCCAGTTTCAGAGTAGAAATTCCTTTTTCCTTCCCACAGTGTGAGACCTCTTGTCCCCAAAGGCATGTCACAGGGGCTGTGTCATGGGTACTCTCTCTGACCTTCATGGAGAGTTAAGTAAAAGGAGCCCAGAAGCGTTTCACTCCAACTTACCAAATGCATGTTATTCGATTTCTTTCTACTTAGTCCTCTAACCTAAAAATTTAACTTTCACATGAATAGGTGGAAGTTACATATGATCTGGAACAAATCCCATGGACAGAGGAGCCTGGCGGGCTACAGTCCAAGAGGGTCACAAAGAGTTGGACGGGACTTAGCAACTAAACAACAACGTGATTCCACAGATAAGAGTGTTTGCGAAATGCAAAGTGCTGCATACTGAGTGCAAACAAAGGCCTCATAAAGGTCCAGAGAAAACAGAACATGGTCTCTATCCAGCTGCTACATGTTGGTAAGGTTGGGCTACCCAGCTTCTTTTCCCCAATGTTCTGTAGAATAGAAAGCTCCTGCTTTCACTTAAAAGCCCAGTTAAAACATCCACCCTCCCCCAGAAAAGAGAGGAGATGGAGGTGAAGAAAATATACCAGTTCAAATTGTCCTCTGTCTGGACACTCGCAGGAGTCTCAACAGGGGCAGAGCCAGAAGAGACCAAGAGCTGCCCAGGGCAGAGAGACATAGACTACACAAGGCAACAGCGCTCTCTACTGCTGAAGGGGGAAGGATGCCAGCCAAGGCCCCGGAGCAGGCTCTTGTGTGGTCTTCTCTTACTCAGAGGGGGAAAAGAGGAAGCAGGAGTCAGTTCAGGCTGGACCGAAATTCCATCACTGAAATCAGAAGGATATTCTCACAGAAATAGAGAA